AAACATTTTGCACTTTTGATATTTTTCAGTCCGCACCATTCGCCACGAATAGGAGTGGGCAATGGCAGTCAGTCGACATCTTCGTTGTTATCGTCGCAATCAGCAGCCCTTTTACAAGCACAGCAACATGCGCAACAAGTACTATCACTCCCGTCCACCTCACAAAACTTACTAACCACAATTCCCAACCCTCTTCCTCCAATCTCTACCTCATCTCTATCAAACACCCTCAACAATAACAGTTCGATGTCTTCCAACTCGTTATTATCCCAGCAACAACAACCATCAATATCCTTATCATCCAACAACAACCCCAATACATCCCAACAATCCATTTACTCAACACCCTTATCGATTGATGACTCGTTAAATCAGCTGCGATCGCTGGCCAATACGAACAATTTGAAGAATATGCCGTCGTCGTCCTCTTCATCGAACCCGTTAGTCCCTCGACCATCCAGTCGTCAAACGCCGTCCACTCACTCCATATCAATCACGACCCCACCAACGTCGTCATTACAGCAGTCGGCTGGCATCACTCTCGGTACTCCATTACCGCAGCAGCAACAGCAACAAGCACAAACTCCTTTCAGTACAAATAGGTTCGTTTGTTTATTTGTCTTTTGTTGTTTGCAGTTTTTTGATCTCTTTCGCTCTTGTTTTGCATTGATATTTTCGTTTTATTTTTGTTTGGTTGAATGGATTTGCAAGCGAATTATTTGGACTTGGTCGCATCCATCCGCATACTTCAACCACCGATAATGTGTAATTTCTGTAACAATNGCAAAACTTATCTGCTCAACATTGATAAATAGCTAACAAACAATGTTAAAGGATTCCATCGACGTTATCAGCGGCATCGAGCGTTACACCGACAAGTTTGTCGTCTGGATCAGTTCAGCAGCAATCGCAGAGTATGAACGCACCAAAAGCATCTCCGTCCACGTCCACCCCGTCGACCAGTCTATCGAATGGTCCCCCTTGTTCGTCGGCGGCCGCGTCGTTGTTGAGTGGTATCGATATGCTCACGAATTCGGTGACCAACATATCACCCGAACGACAGCAACAACTCGCTGCTGCAGCTATCGCAGCCGCTACAGCGAATGCGATATCGAATAATTTTATGAATCAGTCCAGAAATCAATCACAACTCAACAACACAAATGGAGGAGCGAACAATCCCTTGCAGCAGTTCGCGTCGCAGGTTCGTTACTATCTCGGTTATTCATTAGTTTTTAGACAGAAAAGATACGTTGTGGAGTTGATGTTTTGCAGTTGCAGTTTTGTGCAGTATGGCAGCAGTGATTTCATTAGAAATAAATCACTCAGAGAATGTCGGATTTTCGTGAAGAGCGAAAACTTTTTTGTTTGTAAACTGCAAGTAATGGAATGTTGAGAAAGCAATAGCAAGGCAATTAATTATCGAGTTTATTTTGATTGGATGAGTTGCTTGAGAGACGAGAGTGAAGGTGTTGCATTTGCAAAAGGATAGCGAATCGAAATGATGAGTGATGTGCGGCGGCTGGTAAATGCAGTAAATGAACAAATATTATAGGATCTGTTGACGCAATATGCGTTATTAGCCCAACATCAGTTATTACAACAACAGGTTGCAGCAGCTGCGCTGAGTGCACGATATAGTGGTATTGTTATTCCTGGTAATTCAACGCCACCAAGTTCAACGTCGAATAATACCAACAGTATTAACAATAATAATAATTCTAATAATAGTAATAATAATGCTAGTAATTCGGGTAAATAATTCATTGATTATTATTGTTGTTATTATTATTATTATCATTCATATTATTTATTAATAGTAATATTATTGTTTTTNTTTTTATGATTATTGATGCGTTGATTCATTTTACTATTAAGTTATTTATCCGCTGCATATAAAAGGTAATCGGTTACTCCTCTCTCTATCTGTATATTTTGATGGTTCGATGAAGAGGAATGATGTTTCTTCGTACATCAGTGACTATATTTTTGTAACGAAAGCGTTATTTCAAGCTTGGGCAAGATTACTTAAATATTGTTGGATTGTGTGCTTATTTGAATTGAACATTGGGAGGTGAAATACTGAATGAATATGGCAGGGGAACGATTGTTTCGGGCTTAGATGGGAAAGTATTCGGAAAGGAATGCATTTTTTAGCAATTAAGATGTGAATGAATCAACTGAAATGAATAGTAGAACTGATAAGTTGATGATGGTGATTATTATGGTATAATATATGGTGATATGGCATAACATGATGTTCTATTTTCAAACGACTTGTGAATGGTGAATAGTAATAATGATAACGCTTTGTTGCTGAATGTGCTGCCTTTTGCTTGTTTGAATATATGTTGAACTAAGAAGTGTGATTCGATTCGCAAATGGAATTAGCGAGTTGTGAGGAGCATAGGATGGATNTTTGATTACTGAATGAATATTGCTGCTGTTGGAACGGTAGAAATTTATACCAACGATGTTTTGCACGGATGAGGGAGATTTTTGAACTGTTTTGAACCATAGGAATACAAATTTTATGAAAGGTTTCTTGTTGCTAATTTACCTCTCAGGAAGGAGAAAGAATATGCGTTTATGGGAAAAATTCCCTACGGAGCTCCAGGCACTGTGAAACTGCTAAACTTTTCATTCTGAATTTAGCGCTTCATTCAAGTCGGAAGTCGTTTCCAAAAAGTGATCTGTTGCTAATTCATTTGAATATATCAGTGAATCACGCTACTGTTATATGTACCTCTTTGCATGTTTATCGTTTATTTTTTGTTCATCTGTCATTTTATCTCGGAATAATTCTTCAGAAAGTTCCTTCGAAAGAGACTGATTTTAGAACGAAATTTCAATTTTTCTCGGAATTTTTTTCTTGATTCGTTCTGTCGGTAATCATATGGAAATGTGACCGATAAGTCGTATATGACTGATTAAGCAAGTGTTCAACGCTCGTAAAATTTCAAGCAAAAATAGAAATTTGAATTCAATATTAAAACTGAGGAATTGTATTTTTAAAGGATATTCAGTTTCTCGACATGTTTTGATAACATTATTTATTCGATCATATTGTTCTCTGTATTAATGTCATTACTGTATTTTTTCGTTTCTTAAAACAAATATGTACTGTGAGCGGTGATTATTCAGGTCATATTGCTATGTTATAAATAATATATATAACTATAAATATTTATACATATTCAAAATATTTATAATTGATTAATATAATGATAATAATAATCGTAAGTGTTATTGTTATTATTGATGTTGTCAATGTTATGTGTTCTATGTTATATTCAGCAGATTCTTAATCGTTTCACAGTAAAAATGTTTTGGGCATTTCTCATCCGAAGACACACCTCTGTGCAAAGGAGTGTTTTCTTTTGTTAAGCAGATCTAGTTTTTATTTTGCTTTTCTCATCCACTGTTACTAATAGCAATTATCTGTTCTCACTAATGCAGAAATATTAATGCATTCGTTTTGCAATTTTTTAGATTTTCTTCTTCGTTCTGAAATTCTCCATTTTTATCAAAACTGATGAAATATTATGCACTCGCCAATCGGCTGCTGAGTTCTTATTTTTCAATGAAATATGAGTGGAAACATTCGAAAGTTTTGCTTCGTATTCGATGGTTGTTCAAGTCAGTGTGAAGGAGTGTGTAAATGTTCGAACAGATCTGTCGGATGCACTATCGAAAATATTTGTGATATATCTTTCAAATGTTCAATAACGCGTGAGATGTTTTGAAGCTTTTAGTGTTTTGAGGTATCGACTGAAAACGTATGATCGTTAGCACCTGAAAGAATCGCGAAAAGATGGTTCGTTGATCGGTGTTATTGAATGAAAAGTTCATTGATAATATGCAGTCTGATTGTATTGTTCGTATTTCTCGTCGTTTCATTTCGTCTATTTTTCATTTCATTTCAAATAGGGTGTCTCTCTGAATTGAATATGTTGAAGTGGTGAATGAATAATCAATGTGGGATAATTAATTGTGAATGATTGTATTGTTAATATTTTCATTGTAATATTACTAATGTCTTCGGAAAGTTTGTTGATATTATCACTAAAATGATGATCATTGTGTTTATTATTATTATTATTGATACTAACACGGTATTATTGATGTTGTCATTATGTTCATTATTATCATTGCTATCATATGTGTGTGTGAAAGTTCAGTATCATCCAAGAATATAAAGGATATAACTAAATTTGTTCTTTTGGTAAACTTCATATGCAGCTGCGACAAATTTACACATCCGTTATATGGTCAGTCGCATTGAATATTTCATAGTGAAGCAATGCGCAGAATTTATTTTCATAGATTACCTACACTGAAATTCGTGCGTTTTGACCATCCTTTGAACTTTGCCAGCATTCACGGAAAACTGTCAATGCAAATTAGTCAAAAGTTCCCAAACAAGAGGGTCAAAATACCCAAATCAAGAAAGATGTCCAATGTCTCATTCTACGCACAAAACTCCTCGAAAATGATAGTCTCATTGTTGTGTTTTTTTTGCTATTGCTACAGTGTTATGAACCAGAGCAAAATGATTTATTTGTACTATTGTAACAAAATATGATTTATGCAAAATGAATTGAATTCAGTTGCTAGTGTTAA